ATCTTGTGTTGAAGGAAATTACAGAAAATATTACTTTTCATACAACCTCTTCAATGACCTGGCTACCTGAGAGATCGCCTCCTGCCACTTACCTCCCAACGACCAACAAGATCGCACAGGTTGGGCCTCCTCCGGGTACCGTCAGCTGGACAATGCCGGCTGGCGACTCCCCGGGGGAGGGCCTTCTCTGTTGCTGCACCGGCCCTGTGGAACGATCTCCTTGCAGAGATCCGGACCCTTACTACCCTCCCGACCTTCCGTAAAGCCGTCAAGACCTGGCTGTTCCGGCAGGCCTGGGGCTGTTGATAGATATCCAGCCCCGTTTAGATGGAATGGGTGATATGAGTTTTAATTCTGTATTTTTATTTTTTATCTCTATTTTTAAAATCATATGTTTCTTGTCTGTTGTGAGCCGCCCAGAGTCCCTATGGGAGTGGGCGGCATACAAATCCTAATAAACTTGAAACTTGAAAGATTGAATAAGGGCAAATGATCACTTTAAAATCCTGCTACAGTTTGACAAGCATAGCCCTCTTAGGTCAAGGCCTGTAGCATCTGTATTGAAGGTGCTGAGACAAAGATCAGCTTCAGTTTTTAAGGATCACAGTCATTTTGACCTTTTACCTTTTACATGACATCTGCTCTTCATTCTCCAGGTGGCAGGTGTTTACACAGAACAAGCAGTAGCTGATTATCACCCCATAAATAGACAGCTGAGAAGCTGATGCTGTCCTCTAACAATGTAATGTTCATCTTATCAATCCTTGATAGCTCCCCAGACTAGTCTAGGTGACAGGATCTCAAATGGATAACATAAGCATGTATCTTCACGGGGATTTTCCCACCCTGTTTTCAGATTAGATCGAATTTTTACCTCCCTTCATCTCAGCCCACAAAGCAATGACAGGAATGGTAAACTAACACATCTGAAAGGCAATAGTTTGGGGGATATTACTCTGGAATAGAGGAAAGCAGCTAACTATTTCAGGGGTCATTTTGAGCCTCTGATTTTAGCATCTAGTCCTCAACCTGTCCAAGCTCATTATCTTTTGCATTATTATACCTTGAAGAAAACAGAGTCCTTTTATTACCTTCTTCAGTAACATAAAAGAATGCCAAAAAAGAAAATTACTGTCTTTTAATAAAAGTCTAGTTTCAACCTAACCAAAACTCAAACTTTTGATCCAGTTAAATAGATTTGTAGATAAATAGATACACCTTAGATACAGTGTTGATAAATACATACGCTGTAAATAGATACACATATGAAATATTTCAGATTATTGTCACTCAAGTCTCAGTCAAAGTTGAAGAAAGAATAACTACTTGTAAAAGTATTTTTTGAAAGGTGTTGTTTAATTTTGGACTTCCAGATAAGAAATAGCAGACTGAAGACCACTCCATGAAAGGGGGTCCTAACAATTGTAGCAGATGAAGAACTGGCTAGTAAAACTGGCTCTTTGAAATCTCTATGGATTTGAGATTGGCCACATGTCCTCCCGACAGCTCACAAGGAGACCATAAGATTAGTGGCCTCTGTGAATTTAGAGTTCGGTGGGATGAGCCATCTTGCTCAAACCAAGATCAGTGCCGTTGAAATGACACTACTTTGCATATTACCTCCTCTAATCACTTCTGGAAATTGCTTGTTGTTGGAAACACCTTATAGACTTTTTGCATGAAACAGAAAAAAATGAAATTACGATTGATTACAGAAGGAGTATAGTCATGATGTAACTTTAGATAAAGAGGCAAATTTATAATTGTACTTATTACTGCTGTAAAGAAGATCAGAAGCTGATTATATACAAAATAAATATGGGACTAAGAAATTCCAGATAGCTTATGATTAAGATCAGGAATGATATAAATTGTT